GGGGGTAGGGAGCAGGACGAGGAGTTGGGGTGATATGGCTAAGCTTGTGGCCCAAGATCTTGGGAGAACAGGGGCCGCAGGCTAGGCCCATGCTGGCCGGTGAGCAGAGGCTTGGTGATGGGAGCCCTGGGCCACACGGGGAGGAAAGCAGGAGAACACGATACAACCAGGAGAATGGAGGGCTCAGCCACCCAACCTGACCCATCCCCAGGCCAGGGAGGTCCCAGGCGTGAAGGTCTTCCGCTCCTCAGCCACCATGTACTTTGCTAATGCTGAGCTCTACAGCGACGCGCTGAAGCAGAGGGTGAGTCCGGGGGTCCCCAGGGTGAGTGTCAGAGGCTCCCTCACCTCCCCAGAGCATCCACATCCCCTTCCCTGACATTTGCCTCTAGTGCGGTGTGGACGTTGACCACCTCATCTCCCAGAAGAAGAAGCGGCTCAGGAAGCAGGAGCAAAAGCTGAAGCGACTGCAGAAGAGTCTCCAGAAAGAGGCAGGGGCCCCTTCAAGCCAGGTATTCCTGCCCCCTGTCCTGCTGCTGAACCCACATGCTCTTTCTCCTGGCCTCCTGGCCTGAGTTCTTAGCCTCACTCATCCCTCCTTCCTCCCTGATGCCCCCCCACCCTGCTGGGCCCCTGCTTTGCTCCCCCGGCAGGTCAGCGCTCTGGGAAGAGTTTTGTCCCCCCCACCCCCAAGCCAGTGATAGCATGGACCACCACAGTCCTCTTCCATTTTTGGCTGCTCCTGGAGCTGGTGAAAACCCCACCACCTCCAGCCTGGCAGCCCTGGGTCCCAAGCTTTAGTTTCTGGCCTGCCTAGCTGCCCAAAGCCTGGGGGTGATACCAGTCTTGCCTGGTTGGCTGTCCTATGACAGCTGGGAGAGCTCTTTCTTGTCCCCCTTCTCCCCGGCCTAGACTGCCGCCTCCGAGGGCACATCTGTTTCCATCCAAGTCAACACCAGCATCAGAGATGTGGAGAGCAACAACGTGGAGGACTCCAAGGCTAAGGTGAGGCTGGAGGTGGGAGAGGGGGCAGCCATGAGCTGCAGAGATGTGAGTGGTCCATGCATGTCCTGCAAGGAAAGCCGTGGGTTCGAGGTGGTTGTGCCAGCGGTGGGGGGTGGGGGGATGCGGGTGGTGATGGATCCAATGCCTTCTGGAGAGAGGCCTAGTGATCTGCCATAGATTCTGCTTGTGGCTCTCTGGTCTACCATCCAAAGATGTTGAATTTGTGGAGTCCACAAGATTCATGGGTAGAGAGAAGGGACTGGGGCTATGGGGAAAAATATGGGATCAAAAGGGACGCCAAGCTCAACTAGAGACCCAGGCAGGGTGCCAAGCTGTCTGTGTGTGCTCACGTGTCCCTGGGCCCCCTACCCGCCCCACCCTGGCTGGCTGAGGATGGGGCGCTGTCACCCAGCACCCCACCTTCTTAAGCGTCCCTAGGCCTGAGCCCGGGAGATAACAGAGCAGTATATGCACGTCTGTGCATGCTCCCTGAGTCTGGGCTTCCTCTCCTGTGCATCCCCATGTGTCCCTCCTGTCCCTCCTGTCTTTACATACAAGAGCCTCCTCCATGTCCAGGTTTTCATGTGTCCCCTGCATGTCCCATATACGCAGGTGTTTGCATGCATGCTCCCTCATCTGACCCAGTGTGGCCCTTGCCTGTCCGTGTGTGTTCTTTGCCATCACCCCTTCCGGGCAGCCTTTGCAGGGTGTCTGGTTTCCCAGCAGGCGAGCACAGGGAATGAGCTAGAGGATGCAGCAGCCAGTGGTCAGGAAGATGCTAAGGCCCCAAATGGGTCCACACTGAAGGCCCTGGGCCTGCCTCAGCCACACTTCCACAGCCTTGTCCTGGACCTGGGTGCCCTCTCCTTCGTGGACACCGTGTGCATCAAGAACCTGAAGAACGTAAGGGGCTGGGGCACCCCTAAGAAGAGCCCTGGGAGAGGACAAGGCCCCCTAAGCCTCCTCACCCCGTAACTAGACCCAAGAGCCCCTCTGAGCTCCCTCTCGAAACTCCCTCCCCCAAACCTGCCTGAGTCCTTCCTTGGAGCCCTTGAGCCTCCCTCTGAGCCTGGCCCCCTTTTCTGTTGCAGATTTTCAGCGACTTCCGAGAGATCGAGGTGGAAGTGTATATGGCCGCCTGCCACAGTGCGTGGGGGGTACAGCATGAGTGGTCTGGGAGGGGAGTGGGGCTCTTTCAGCCAAGGAGTCTGCCAAGCAGCACAGGGAAAGCTCTTTCTCTGAGACTGGAGGTCAGAGGCGTCTTGGGAGGCAGGGGTCAATGGTCAGGAGTGACTGGAGGTTTTGTTGTCACCTCAGGAGGTAGAGGTCATGGGTGAAATGGGTCAGGGTGTTCTGGTGACTGAGGTTGGGGGTTGGGGTTCCTGGTGGTTCTCTGAGCTAGGGGAGACCTATTCCTTGCCCGCAGCTCCTGTGATCGCCCAGCTTGAGGCTGGGCACTTCTTCGATGCTTCGATCACTAAGCAGCATCTCTTTGCCTCTGTCCACGATGCTGTCCTCTTTGCCCTCCAACACCCGAGGCCCAGCCCTGCCAGCCCTGTTTTGGTGAGCTGGCCTCTGGCTCACAGAGCTGTTTTTGTTTGTCTACTGCTTGTCCCTATCCTGACCCCCACCTCCAGGAAGTCCACCCATCCTGAATGGCTCTGCTGCAGCGGACCCACTGCCTTCCCTTCCTGCCTTCAGCTGAAGCTGCTCCCGGGAGCAGGGGTTGCTGTCCGGGGGGAAAGGGTTGATATGTGTTTTTGGAAACTGACTGGAGCCTCCCCTCCTCTGCCCACTCAGATGACCAAACTCTGACCATGCCGCCGCCCTGCCTGAGACCGCTCACCTCTGCAGGTTGTGACCAGGCACTTGTGAGAATCTCCCTGCCCCTGGGCTGCCTCCAGATGTCACCCAGGAGTCCCCTCCGGATACACACACACACACACACACACATAACTCAGGGATGGAGGTCCTGGGTCTCCCAAGTTCAGTGCTATAGGCCTGGGCCTGGGATGGGACACTGGAGTCAGACCGGCTGGGTTGGGGGAAGATGCATGTTTTTAGCCCCCAAAATAAAGACCTGTTTGCCTACCACCAGCTTGCTGTGCCTTGGTGTGGGCTTGGTGGGGTGGGCAGTGATCCACAGCCCTGACTCCTGACTCTTCTTATGCTCCAAAGTGGGGGGCTGAAGTCAGAAGTTGGGGGGACGTTTGAGGAGGGCAGAGTCCAGTGAGTGAATAGAGAGCCAGAGGGAGAGTTATGGGGCCCAGAGCCAGGGTGGGGGCACCCCAGGTTCAAGCTCCCCAGCCACGCACAACCCTCAGCGCCTGTGTCTTCAGCTGGAAGACTGTGGAATCAGACCTGCTTCCCAGGAATGGTCCCAGTGAGTGCAGCCCCTGGAGGGTGTAGAGTAAATGCTTGAGCAACCAGCTGGGGGAGCATGGTGTTACAGGCACTGCTGGTCTGTGTCGAGAAGTAAGAACGCGTAGGATTGACTTACTTGGGAAAAAGCCCATTCATATCATTAGGTCACTTGGGCTGTGCAGGTCACTGCAAGAAGCATGTGCTTGATTTCTACCTTAAACGGTCAGCATCTGGGTGATTGCCCAGTGGGCAGCAGTGGGCCTTCCTTCGGGCCAGCTGATGCTCTGAGTGAGTGGGGGTGGGGGGCTAGAATCTTTCTGGGTCTCCTCGGCACCAGAGCGGGGATGGAAACCGCATCCATGTCGTGGGTTGCTCCGTGAGTATTAAACGAGGCAGTGCCTAGCAGTGCTTATAACAATGCCAGGCTCCTGTTACCTGCTCAGAACACATGAGCTCTGCCGTCCACCAGGTAATGACCAGGTGCCCCCCTCTATGCTGGGCAAGTGGACAGAGGCTGTCCTGCCCTTCAAGTCACTGAGGTGCCCCTTGTCCAGCTCAGTGTTTGGCAGCGGCATCCTGCTCTGTGTTCATGAATCATCGGCGCCCCGCCCCCCCCCCCCCCCCAACCACAGCCCAGGAAGTCAGGGCTTTTTAATCTACTCTGACACGCCATGTCCCTGCACCAGAAATGTTGCCTGGCGTGTGGTGTGCTTGGGAAGTACTGGGTGAGGGAAGCTTATGTGCCGGAGTGGAGGCCAGACCCCAAATAAGAAATTGCAGATTATTAGAACTGCTTTGAAGAAAACAAAACGGGGTCACGCAAGAGAGGAGGGACTGTGTTGCCCAACAGGGGCATGGGAGGGAAGCTAAGGGAGCAGGTCACACAAGCCGTGAGAAGTGGAGTGGAGGACTGTGTCCCGCCGTAGGAAACAGCAATTGTGTTCGGGAACACCAGGGAGGCCTGCACGAGGCCAGAGGGAGGCCACAGCACGCAGGACCTCACGGGCCAGCGCGAGCCTTCAGGCTTTATTCAGAGCGTTTGGGGGCCCCACACTTGTGAGGGTTCACCCTGCTGTAATTTGGACTGTGGGGTAGGCTGGGCTTTGGGGACCAGCAAGCAGCTCTATGCTGGACAACAGCCTTAGGAGCTGTGAGGTGTTAGAATTTTAGGGATTGAGGGCGCCTGGGTGGCTCAGTTGGTTAAGCGACTGCCTTCGGCTCAGGTCATGATCCTGGAGTCCCGGGATCGAGTCCCGCATCGGGCTCCCTGCTCGGCAGGGAGTCTGCTTCTCCCTCTGACCCTCCCCACTCTCATGTGCTCTCTCTCATTCTCAAATAAATAAATAAAATCTTAAAAAAAAAAAAAAAAGAATTTTAGGGATTGAGGGCGCCTGGGTGGCTCAGTTGGTTAAGCGACTGCCTTCGGCTCAGGTCATGATCCTGGAGTCCCGGGATCGAGTCCCACATCGGGCTCCCTGCTCAGCGGGGGGTCTGCTTCTCCCTCTGCCCTCTTCCCTCTCGTGCTCTCTGTCTCTCATTCTCTCTCTCTCTCAAATAAATAAATAAAATCTTTAAAAAAAAAAAAGAATTTTAGGGATTGAACGTTATGGGAGGAGGAGGAGCTGGGGGAAGGTATTCCTTCAGTCTTGGGCTGGCTAGGAGATTGGCACCCAGGCTTCAAGCCTGCCGCCCCCCTCGGCCCTGGAAGCCCCCCTCCCCCACCTTGCTGTGTTTTCGGGCCAGGCTGCCCCTCATGAAAGGCCACGGACCCAGCTGGAACCTGCTGCTGCTGCTGGGGGCGGGGTGTTTGCCCGTTGCCAGGCACCCAGGTTCTATCCGGGCATTTGGTGCCGCCATGCTGCTCGCACGGCCCTTCCTGCTCCTGCTGCCCCTGCTGGCCCTGCCAGCTCCCTCCCACGCCTGGTCTCGGCCCCTGTGGTACCAGGTGGGACTGGACCTCCAGCCTTGGGGCTGCCAGCCCAACAGCCTGGAAGGTTGTGGGGGCAGCCTGGGCTGTCCTGGCCACTGGATGGGCCTGGGCATGAGCCGCATCTACCCTGTGGCTGGGGTCACGGTCACCACTACCGTGATGCTGATGATGGGCCGAGCAGTGCTTCAGCGACGGCGCTCCCAGGCTTCTAAGTCCGAGGTGAGTGTAGCACGGCTCTGCCCGCCGCAGCCGCCGCCTCCGCTCAGACCCACTGAGGGCCTGGGCCTGGGCCTTGGGTCCCCTCCCCCACTGCCCACACCCTGTGTTCCTACATCTGTCCACACCCGTCAGCCCCTGACCATTGCCTGTGGCCAGTACTCTGTCCCCATCTGTCCACCCGTTTACTCTCCCTATTCCTCATCCAGCCCCTGTGGCCCCCGTGACCACCCCAGCCCACAACAGACCCTCGGTGACCCTCCATCACCAACTCCCTTCCTGGTCTCCTCGCGGCCCCTCACCACACCCCCATTCCGTCCCTCTGCTCTTACTCCTGCCTCTTGGTCCTATCCTCAGCATCCACAGGTGACCACTATCCTCCCTGGACCCTGGAAACGGCGGACCCCAATCTCAGACCGCGCCCTGCTCCTTAATGTCCTGCACATGCTGGATTCCCTCCTGGTCCATATTGAGAGCCACCTGCAGCATATATCTACCCAACAGAAGTCCCAAATAAAGGGGACTCCCGCCCAGAGTGGGTGACCCAATATATGCCTCTCTGCCTGGTGGCCAGTCGGGGTGGGGATGGCCTGAGGCTCTGGGCCAGGCTCAGGCCTGTGTGTGTGTCTTCTCCAGGCCTGCCTGGACCCTGTGTCCCCTTTCTACTTCCGTAGCCAGCAGACTTGAGGCCTCCGTGCCCAGGGTGGGTGGGCAGATGGGACTGGCCCACACTGCTCCATTGCCCGTACCCCTCTTCCCTAACTTCTCACCCACAAACGTACCTGTTCCTCGGGGGCCCCAGTGTGGTGGGACAAGACTCGACCATCAGGGCAGACGTGGGTAGTCCATGGAGGTGACAATGGCTGAGTCAGTGAGGGCTCCCAGTTGGTGATGCAGGGGGTCGGGGGTGGTGTGAAGGGTGAGCCCTGGCCACCTTCATCTTTGTGGCAACCCCAAACATCCTCTGGCACCTGAGTGGCCCCTGCCCTAAGGCCCCCGGAAGTGGAGTGAGGGCTGAACTTCACCCCCTCTTCCCTTCCTTCTGCAGATAACCCAGGTTGAGCGGGTACTGAGGCCTATGCATGTTTAAGGTCTATCTTAGAAAAAGAATATTCTATTCAAAAATAGAAACAGTTGCATTCACATCAGGAAAGAAACGAGAGATTACCAGTGTTAAAGAGTTGACCCTACAATGCAAAATCCAGACCAATAATGTGTTTGTGGTGATGTCCTGACATGTTTCTGTAATGCATGTTCTTCTGAACCCCCTGGCTGCAGACTCTGACAACCTCTATATAGGATGACGGGTTTGTCATATGGGGGACATACTCTCTATACAGAAAATTGAAAAATAACTCATTCTTCCTTCTAACATGGTTGATTGACATTTGTGTTTTAATTTTTGATAGTGTGAGGTGTGCTGGCCTCGTCAGAGTGGAGCAGACATGGACTGACTGTGGGCACCTGAAGAAAGAGTGAGGTGACTAGAGTAGGGGAGAGTGCTCCAGTCAGAATGACAAGCCTAGTGGAGAGGGTGGGGACGGACCTTGGCCTTGTCTGGGAACTAGAAGATGGTCAGAATTTCCATGGAAAAGGAGCTCTGAGGAGTAAGAAGGAGAAGACTGGGGAGGGGAAGGGGTGGGTACCTCTTAGTGAGGGTGTTGTTGTTGTTAGGAGAGGAAAATTCCTCTCCCAACCTGTTATTGATGATATCCCATCAATGGTCTGGATGGTTTTCAAATTCAGAAAACTGTCAGCTTGCCTTCATATAGAAGCTGTGGAATTTGGAAGAATTTCTCAAAGATGAGAAATCCTGGCTCCACAGATATTTCAAAATTTGTGTTCTTTTCGTGGCCCACAATTTTTCTAGCACTGGGCACTGTGGGGGCAGGTTCTAAATGCAATAGGATCCTGTATTTCTGTCCCGACCAGGAGCTCTGACCTGGCAGGAGGTTCCTGGAGGACTCCTGTACCAGGATAGGAACAATAAGTTAACCACACACAGGAGTGGAGCAAACCGCATTGGGTCCCTCTAAACCCAAACCAAGTGTGTCCCTGAGGTAGACTTGGAGCTGTGCCACCCGGGTCCCCCTGCAGGGAAGCCTGCTACTGCCAGCCACCGAGAAGGCAGTCGGCAGATGGGTCTACCTCAGCTGCAGAAGGGCCTCATCACAGCTGGTTTTTGCCCTTGGCCCAACCTTTTCCTTTCCTCCCTCAGATACCAATCTTGACTCCCTGGGAAACATCCTAATCTCCCTCTTGGAGCCTGCTCTCCAGAGAACCCAACCTGGGAAAATCCCCAACCCACCTTCCTCTTGGCTGAACCCCCAAACTGTTATAACCTCTTCAATGTCCCCTGTAAGCGGAGAGGTAGGGTGGAGGGGTTGACTGGGAAAGGACAGAGGTTCTAACTGAATGCAGTTAGAATATCTCCATTTCGCGAGTGTAAAAAAAAAACTTGGGGCGCCTGGGTAGCTCAGTTGGTTAAGTGTTTGCCTTCAGCTCAGGTCATGATCTCAGGGTCCTGGGATTGAGCCCCACATCAGGCTCCCTGATCAGCAGGGAGTCTGCTTCTCCCTCTCCCTCTGACCCTCCTCCAGCTTGTGCTCTCTCTCTCTTTCTCAAATAAATAAATAAAATCTTAAAAAAAAAAAAAAAAGACTTGCCCTTATGGACACACTACTGGGGGTCTTCCCAAGACCTGGAAGAGAAAGGCATTGAAGCTTAGGATTCATCAGCCTCTCGCTAGGCCCACTTCTACATTCTCCAAGGTTCAGTGAGCACCCACTGCTTGCAGGTTCCATTGTGGATACCAGGATCCATTGAGGTACAGAACAGAAAGGGCTCCCCCTTCACCCACTCACAAATGGGAGGGTGGTGGTGGTGAAACCAACTAGAAAAAAGCAATTACTCTGCAGAGAGGTGTGCTGGCCTCGTCAGAGTGGAGCAGACATGGACTGACTGTGGGCACCTGAAGAAAGAGTGAGGTGACTAGAGTAGGGGAGAGTGCTCCAGTCAGAATGACAAGCCTAGTGGAGAGGGTGGGGATGGACCTTGGCCTTGTCCGGGAACTAGAAGATGGTCAGAATTTCCATGGAAAAGGAGCTCTGAGGAGTAAGAAGGAGCAGACTGGGGAGGGGAAGGGGTGGGTACCTCTTAGTGAGGGTGTTGTGGGCAGAATAATGGCTCCTCAAGATGGCCATGGAATCTGTGGATATGTTACAGTACATGGCAAAAAGAACTTGGTGGACGGAATTAAGGTTAAAGACCTTAAGGAAGAGAGATTATTCTGGATTATTTTGCTGGGCCTAATGTAATCACATGAGCCCTTAAAAGTGATGAAGAGGGCAAATGAGTTGGTCAGATTTAAATTGTGAGAAGTACTTGATCCTCTGTTTCTGGCTTTGAAGATCCCTTCCTTCAGAAGGTCCCTTCCACCATCCAAAAATCCGAGGAATTCAGGTGACCTCTGGAAGCTGGGAATGACCCTCTGGATATAGCCAGCAGGAAAAACAGGAACCTCAGACCTACAACCACTAGGATCTAAATTCTGCCAACAACCCAAATGATCAAGGACACAAATTCTCTCCTAGAACCTCCAGAAAACACGGCCCTGCTGATGCCTTGATCTTAGCTCCATGAGATCCATGTTGGACTTTGAGGCTACAAAACAGTGATATCATAAATTTGTGTTCTGAGTCATTGAGTTCCAAGTAATTTGTAATGACTGTAATAGAAAACTAATAACAATGTTGCTATCAAGAGCAAAGTACTACTGTAACAAATTCTAAAAACGTGGAAATGGCTTTGGAATTGAGCAGTGAGCAAAAGCTGGAAGAATGTCAAAGGGCATGATGGAAAAAGCCCAAACTGCCTTCAACTGTTAGGGGAAATCTTGACTTTAAAAATGCTGCCTGTGGGGACTCAGAAGGAAACGAGGAACATGTTATTGGAGATCAAGAGGAAGTAGGATGCTAAGTAGCTGTAGAGGGCTTAGTGGAATTGTGTCCAGGAGTTGGGTGGAAAGCAGAACTTGTAAGCGATGAACTTAGACATTAAGTAGCAGAGATTTCCAAGTAAAATGTTGAAAACAGAGCCTCAGCTCTTGTTAGTTATGGAAAAATGCAAGAGGAGGGAGGACGATCGAGAGAAAAAGGGTTAAAACAGAACCAGGATATTGATATCGGAAATTCTTGGCCAACTGTCCAAAAAAACACTTTTCCCCAAATTACTGGCATTGATACAATTCTAATCAAACCAGGTTTTTCTTTTAGGTTGACGAAGTACTATTTTCATAAATAGTTTAGAACAGGGTGTGACATCAAAAAAAGATGACAGAGGGTGCCTGGGTGGCTCAGTCGTTAAGCGTCTGCCTTTGGCTCAGGTCATGATCCCGGGGTCCTGGGATCGAGCCCCGCATCGGGCTCCCTGCTCAGCGGGAGGCCTGCTTCTCCCTCTCCCACTCCCCCTGCTGTGTTCCTGCCCTCGCTATCTCTCTCTCTGTCAAATAGATAAATAAAATCTTTAAAAAAAAAAAAAAAGATGACAGAGTAGGACTCTCCAGGAATCCTTCCCGCCGCCATAATAACTATTGAGCTAGCAGAGACTGTAGCAGGTTTTTGGAACTCTGAAGTCTAGTTGAACACTTGCAGCATCCAAGGGAGAGTTTAATGAAGAATTTAATTCAATGAATTTCCTTGTTTCAACTCCCACAGGCTGAGGCAGCTTCCCAGCTGCAGGGGATTTAAGTAGATCTCACTCCCCAACCCCCATCCCACCTTCCTTTTGGGAGCCGGACATTTAAGGAAATCTTTGTGAGGTCACTGGCTGGCCAAAGTGATAATAGAATAGAAACTTCAGTTACTGCACACAACAAGAAATATACACTTTGTAAAAATAGTATGGAAAGATCATAAACAGATGGCTCCACCTCTCAACAAGCCGAAATCAGGATTCCCTGAAGAGTGAGAGAATTCAATTTCCAGAACTGCCACATGTCATACTCAGAATGTCCAGTTCTCAACAAAATATTATGAAACATGTTAAGAAATGGGAAAGTATGGCCTGTTTGCAGAGGGAAAAAAAAAAAAAGGAACTTGACAGAAAACATCCCTGAGTAAGCCCAGGCAGTGGAATTATTAATGAAAGGAAACCATGGACAAAGAGCTAAAGGAAATCAGAAAAACAATGTCTGAATAAAATTAGAATATCACTAAAGAGAAAATTTTAAATGGATCCAAGAGTGCTGCAGCTGAAGACTACAATAATGGAAATGGAGTATTAGAAGGGTTCAACGACAGACTGGAGCAGGCAGAAGAAAGGATCAGTGAACTTGAAAGTAATAAAAATGAAATTATCAAGTCTGAGGGTCAGAAAGAAAAATGAAGAAAAAATGTGCAGATCCTGTAGAACACCATCAAGCAGAACAATATATGCATTGTGGGAGTTCTGAACAGAGAAGAGAGAGAGAAAGGGGCAGGAAAAAACATTTGAATAAATAATGGTCAACTCCTCCCCCCAAATCTGATGAAAAACATGAGTAC